AACCACTCTAAAAAGGTATAGTAGGTTTTAAAATGTGCTTTGATGCTGAAGAAAAAAAAATGGGTTCAGAGAGTCATAAAAAATAGTTTAAAAATAATAAAAGTCTTTAAAAGAGAACAAAGTAAAATAAAAAAGTTACATACGAATAAAAAATATTACAACACAGGGAGTTTGGACCTTGTATGGTGCTTTGTTAACTTTCAATTCTTTGAATGCTAACGAACAGAGAATGACAGCGGCTGAGAGACACGGGATTGTGGAAGGCACTGCTGAATTAAACCAGCCTGGATACTTTAGAAATGCCTTAACCCTAAAATGGAAGTCAGAAAATGTATTGCTTTGGAGAAGAGACTAAACAAAAAGGCTGTGGATCCATTCAAGACTGAAAATCCTGGCTATAGACATAAAGAAATAAACCTGGAAAACCTACAAGACAGGAGATGTATATTCCACCCGCTCAAACATTAAACAAAATATCATCTTTGGCTGGTCAGTGTACAAGAGGCAGTCCACACTTGTGCTAATATAGATATGCATGTTACCATTGAAAGTCTGTGTGTTTTCAGAGCAAGGAGATCAGCCACCAATGAAAACAGGCGGCCCAGGTGGCCCAGCCTCTCAAGCCTCTGTTGCCTTCTTCTCAGAGTTCTAGGTCCAGACCAGCTTCAAGGCCGCTGGCTGAGATGGTCCAGCCTCACAGACTGCTCCAGCCAGAACTGTCCCATTGCACAGAGACTGGACAACAAATGTCATGGCTGGTGTTCTCAGTTTTCTCATGGTCCCCCAAAGATGCCATCACCCCCAGACAACAGAAAGCAGTCCAGAGAATATGATGCCCACATTCCCAAGAGATGGGATAGATGGGTCATGAATGTTTGTCATTGTTTGGGGGGCAGTAGTTACAAGTTGTTAGTGGTCATGGCCAGGAGAAAAGCTGAACAAAGGAGATTAGATTCAGGGATCTCTTTCTTTGTATGTTGATACAAATTTAAGGTTATAGCTATACTTGTATATATGTGTCTACTCTAATTTAAAGTATTATACCTATGCAGTTCATTTAAGATTATAATGTAAAGTTTTAATCCTTGAAAGCTATTTAGGATAATAAAAAAAGACAGGTTAATAGTTATCTATAACATCAAACTTATAGCCATGTTAGGTATGTTTTCAAGGTTATACAGAGACATATTTTAGATAATAGGAGATCTTCAAAAACTTAAAAGACCTACAGAATATGGCATTTAAATGTTTTAATAACACAAGGCTTTCATGACAGTGAGACACATCTGCTCCTGGCAGCACCAATTTACTTCAAAAAATGATGATGGACATCAAAGAACCTCCATACAAAGTTTGCTTTCACTGTGGCAAAAGTTAGCTATTTGGGCAAGAAACTCCCGTTGCCTTGACCGCTGACAGTATGCTGTCCAAACTGGACAAGCAGGACACAAAAGAAAGAAACTGCCAGACTTTGCCAGGACAAGTAGGTTAGTCCTTCAAAAACTCCTGCTTCACAGAAAAATTGGTCAGACATTCTAGGCCTGTAGACTGCAGATGGATGCCCCAACGTTGCAGAGGAACCTGGCAGTCAGATGTCTCTGTCATTTCTATAATTTTAGAAGTTGCTTTCTCTACACTTCCTGTTTACTCAAGTAATATTTTATCCTTCTCAGGTCTCTGGTGGGAATCAAAGACTAGATAGCTACAGTTTTACAGTTTTCCTTGTTATCAAATTCAGAAAAGAAACTTACAAAAGAGGTGTAAAGTTTATGACTGAGAAACAGAAAAGCTTAAGTAGTTTATCTAAAAGGATGTTTAAAAGATCTTTTTAGGAATGGTAATACAATTTGTGACAAGAAATGGTTTAGGTATAAAACTGTGGCCTAAGATAAGATACACAGTGGAGTATTTTCTCTAAATTTGCCAAATGTAAATGAAATGGACGTTGTAACTATAATTCTTACTGATAATTGCTCTTATTGTATATAGTTTTACTGTCTTAGAAATGCGGAATATTCCTTTACAGTGTGAAGATGTGTCTCTGTGGTTGGTGTAATATAAAGCTGAACAGCCAATAGCTAGGCAGGAAGTATAGGCGGAACTTCTGGACAGAGAGAGCTCTGACAAGGAGAAAGGTGGAGTTGTCAGCCTGATGCAGAGGGAGCAGAACAGGCAAGAGGAGAGGTGCAAGCCATGAGACACACGGCAGCATGAAGATCGACAGAAGTGGGTTAACTTAAGTTATAAGAGCTGGTTAGAAACAAGCCTAAGAAAAGGATGAGTTTTCATAATCATTAAGTCTCTATGTCATGATCTGGGGACTGGTGGTCCCTAAAAGCCTGTTCCACGGCAACCAGGTCCTGCAAAGTTTTCAAACTGGTATCCACCGCTGGCTGTGATCTACCCATGTGTCTGTTCATCTATCTCACACTGAAGCTCAAGGAGATTCACCCTTGTCATTTACATCCCACCAGCACGCCTGGCAGTGGTGACGCACACGCCTTTAATCCCAGCACTCGGGAGGCAGAGGCAGGCAGATCTCTGTGAGTTCGAGGCCAGCCTAGTCTACAAAGCGAGTTCCAGGAGAGGCTCCAAAGCTACACAGGGAAACCCTGTCTCAAAAAACAAACAAACATCCCACCACGCAGACCCTCCTCATTGATCCTCAGCAAAACTATAAACACAAATGTTCTTGCGGGCAGCAAAGTCACGCGGTTTTGGCATGTCAGAGACAGGTACAAACATCAGGTGGGAAGGGTTACACGCTGGGGAAAACAGAACATCAGCACACAGAGTAGGAGACCCTGTGTCAGGATCCTATTGTTTCACACGGTCCAGACCGCAAGGAGACGAAGGCCTTTCTATACCCCGGTGCACCAGCCAGCCAGGGAAGGGACAGTCCTAAGTGCGAGAGGAAGACCCTGGCTTGTCAACCATCCATCCATCTCCTGTGGTACTCAGCAAAGGTTCCATGGAATGTTCTGACAAAACTGAGTGTCTATCAGAGGCGGAGCCACCCCAGCAAGCATCTCAAGGACCTACTCGTGTGACCGGGTCAGCCCTTCTTAAGGCTTAGCCGCATTTTCTGCATGCCCACAGGACAAAACGGACCCACCTCGTCACACCCAGCTTCCACTTCAAAAGAGACCCCAAGCTCTTCGACATCCAGTGGCAGTACTGTATGGTGACAGGCCACCTACTCGAGGGACCCTCCCTACAGCACCTACACGCAAACCAACAGGCTTGCACCCTGGGACAGAGCTGAGACAGAGCCGAGACAGAAGCACAAACCCTCTAGCTCCTGTGGTTTACAGGGGCCGCCTGGATGTAAGGCAAAACACATGAACATAATCTTGTTACCATGACCAAAAATCCACCCAGGTGACAGCCAGGCACCACCCGAAATGTCCCTGCTGACCCCGCAGTGTGAAGGTCAAGGAGGGAGATGGACAGGACGACCTCATCTTCCCTCCTCGCTGCTTCAGCTTGTTCTTTTTTAGAATGGCGTTTGTTGAGCTATACATTTTTTCCTGATCCTTTTTTTAAATTTTAGAACTTTGTTATCATTGTGTGAGCATACATATGCGTGTATGATGTATGTGAGTGCAGATATATGTGTGCCACAGTGTGACGTGTATGTGCATATGATGTGAGTACCATGTTCGCTGTGTGTTTGGAGGCTGTCTCCATGGGAAGCAGGGATTGTACTCAGGTCATCAGGCGAGAACTGAACCATCTTGCCAGCCCACGCTTTATGTTACTGTTTTACATACTCATACACACGCTGTCCAGATGCCTGTCCCTCCGTGGGACGCAGGCACCCCAGAGGGAGGGTCCTGGAGCATTAGGGAGTATTCCACAAGGACAAGGAAACAACATGCTGGCCACTTGCCCTAAGGACTCTGCACGGGCTGCCTGGGACTTGGGCTAGAAAGTCCCGTGTCACGGGTTCCACACCACCCAGTCTGTCAAAGTCCTCTTCGGGCAACCCCATACACAAACATACACGCCTGACTGATAATCTCACCTGCTGTCCTACCCTGTGGCCCTAGGCCAGTTCCCCATCCCACCAGAGGCAAAACACATGAGCTGAGCACCTGCCTCCTAATCACACTGGGTTGTGCAACCTCAGATACTTCTTCATCGGCCAGGGAAGCCAAGAGTTGTCACCCCCAGGAGCCTTGTCACCCCTTAGCACCCAAGCACGGCCTCCAGGGCACAATCAGAAGCAAGAACAAAACCCCCCTTGGATCCCGCCACTCCTGGGACCTGCTTCCTTCATCTTCAACCAACAGACGGGGGGGGGGGGGGGGGGGGGGGGGGTCAACAGATCAACACAAGACAGGAAGAGGACAGAAAGGCGCCCGGAGTGGTCTGCGTGGAGCAGATACAGCGATACAGACGCATAGGAGCAGTATCCGGGCGTCCTGGCCTGGGCATTTTCCTCATGGAACAAACCAGGACGCTTTGTAGACCTTCTACTGTGCCACCTGACAACCAGGCCGACCACACCTCTTTCCCTCACCTCCCCAACTGCCGACAAAGCACCAGTCAGCCGCAACATATCCATGGAAACCGGGGGAGCCAGCCAAAGTGAAAAGAGCTCTCGAGGTTACGGTCCCGTTCACGCTGAGGTTGGATTCCTCATCGACTCGGGGTCCCCCGGCTTTACACGAGGCACCCACCCACCACCCTGATACGACGGACCAGCTACCCATAGCACATGGCGCGTGTTAGAAATTTAAAAATGGAGCACTCAGGCTGGAGGGATGGCTCAGGGGTTAAGAGCACTGGTTGCTCTTGCAGAGAATCTGGGTTTGATTCCCAGCGCCCACATGGGGGGCTGATAACTATGATTCCAGTTTCAGGGGATCCGACGCCCTCTTCTGGCCTCTGCAGGTACCAGGTGCTCACGTGGCTCAAAGACACAGAAGCCGGCAGAAAACATCATATCACATAAAGTAAAACAAAGTAAAATTGAGAGGAAACTGAACACTCACTGTCTTCCCCAGGACAAGGCATGCCTGGCTGTTCCGGGATGCTTGGGAAAACTGGACAGAAAGAAAGAAAAGGACAAGATTAGTAACAGTGGACCGTTAACACCGTCTCTCAGGCAAAGTCCTGCCCTGGTCAAAGCGCTCTCCACAGTCCCCATGAGACCACTCTTGGAAGACCTTCCTCAGCAGAACCTCAAAAGCCCATGTGGTCAAACCCTACTTGTAAGTTCCAGGAGAAAAAATGCTTTTGGAGAGCAGAGCTATCAAAGGAAAACCAGCAGTTCTCGTGAATAAAGTAACCCAGATGTAAGAAAGCACAGCGATTATCTAGAAAACCGACCTTTAAAAGCCACGCTAAGAACTCAACCTGGGGTCTTGAGAACGCTAGGTAGGCTCTGTTCCATTGAGTCTACGTCCTTGGCTCTGCCCTTTCTACTTTTTATTTTGAAGCCAAGTCTCGCTAAGCTGTCCACGCGGGCATTCATGAACTCGACAGCACGAGTTGTTGTCTTGAACGTTCTCAGTCTGTCTACGAGCCTGTGCCACGAGGCCCAGCAGAACGTAAGTGTGTGTGTCAGATGATGGCTCAGGGTGTAAGGTGCCTACCATCAAGCCTGAGCTCCGATCCCAGGGACCTACGTCATGAGGAATCAACTCATGGAAGCTCTCCTCTGATCTCGACACACGGATTGTGGCACCCATGCATACACACAATAGATAAATACATGAAACGATACATTTCTAATTAATTTATTTATTTTTATGTGTACGTGCGTGTCTCTGATTCAATGTGGGTGTACCACATGAATGTGGGAGCCTGCATAAGTCAGAAGAGGCACTGGTTAGCCACCATGTGTGTGCTGGGAACAGAACCCAGGTCCTCTGTAAGAACAAGTGTTCTTAACCACTAAGCTATCTCTTCAATCCCATAAATTTACTTTTAAAAATACATAAGTGCTAAGGGATGCTTATGTATGCTACAAATATGCACCAATATATTATTGGTGAATAATAAAAGCTATTTGACCAATAGCCAGGCAGGACAGGGTTAGGTGGAACAATCAAACTAAGGAATAGGATGAGGAGGGGTAGAGTTGAGAGAGACGTGAGCAGCGCCCAAGGAACAACATGCCAGCAGATGGGTAAAAGCCATGGCCATGTGGCAATAGATTAATAGAAATGGGCTGATTTAGATGTAAGAGCTAGTTAGTAATAGAACTGAACTATAGGCCAAACGGTTTGTAATTAATATGTTTCTGTTGCTGTCTCCGTTCACACATAAGAACATCATCATGTTTTCTACTGCCAGGCTCCATGTGCCTTCCCAATCATCAGGCAATCAGACAAAGATCCCCATAGCTGAGGAGAGCCCCTCAGGCTATGTTCTGGTTAGTTTTGTACACTTGACACAAGCCACGGTTATCTGGGAACTGAGAGAAAGCCTCCATCAGATTGGCCTCAGGCAAGTCTGTGTGACGTCTTCTTGACTGGTGTGGGAGGACCTCGGCCACTGTAGGCAGTACTGCTCCTGGGTAGGTATGTCTGCTTCAGCTCCTGCCTCCAGGTTCCCGCCCTGGCTTCTCACAAAGATGGACGGTGATCAGGATGTGTAAGCTAAATGAACCCTTTCCTCCCACGTGGCTTTGGTTATGGTGTTTGCCACAGCAGACCAAGAGGACAGAGGAAGGGTCTGACCTCCAGCTCACCCACCATGGATGATGAGCACTTCCCGGCCCTGACACACCAGGCGGAAGGCCTCCTCCAGCTCCATCTGCGAGGACACGGTACAAGGGTCGCCTAGGGGGAGGAGGCAAGAGGCACCAATGAAGCGACCGAGGCACGAAGGCAAAGAGGTCTGAGCTACTCAGCACTTCAGACAGAGGTCTGGGTGGGCAAAGTCTCACTGCTCATGGTCAGCACAGAGCAAGCGTGAGAGACTCCACAACAGCCGTCCAAACCAATGAGTTAATTTTCCCTCGTGGGACCTCAGCTTCCCATGTAAGAACCCATGTATCAACCCCAGAAGGAAGTCATGTTTACTCACAGCCTTGGGAGCTCTAAGAGCCTGCTAGGCAGCAAGCAAGAGCTAGAACTTCCTCCCAGGTGGCCTAGGTAAAGGAAAAGGTCCTTGCCTTCTAGGCTTGATGGATAGAGAGGCGTACAAGCAGCCCCATGTATCTGTAATTCTGCTGAAATGGGGGAAGCCAACTGTTCTGCCTGCCCCACGGTGCTTCCGACTGGCAGCTGTAGTCGGTTGTGCAAAAGGAGTCTCTCCCGACACCCCCCCCCCCCCCCGTCTCATCCCAGTTTCTATGAGTCTGAATGTGGGAAGGAAAGAGGAGGAAGGAAGAAACAGAGACAAGGATAGAGGGACTCAGAGAAAGCAAGAGAGGCGGAGGAGGGGCAGAAAGGAGGGAGAGAAGAAAGAGAAAGGGAAGAAGAGAGAGAGAGGAGAAGGGGGAAAAGGAAGTAAGAAAGTAAGAGACGGGAAAGAAGGGGAGGAGAGAAAGAGAAATCAAGAGGTGGGAAACAGATGCCTCGCTGTTCTTCTATGGAAATGAAGAGCCAGGCCTTCCTCAAGCAGCTGCCAGAACACCCCAGGATAAGGCAAGTCAGAGAAGGAGCTGTGTAGGCTGGGGGCCAGGAGGGGCTCAAAGCTTCCCCTGCAGCTGAGCTGAATCCCCGACGAAGCAGGAACACCCCCTTCCTGCCTTGCTTTTAGTGCGGCCCCGACTGCCTCAGGTCCTATCTACCCTGTTTGCAGCCACCCTATTCAGGAACTGTTGGATCTAGCGAGTTCAGCGGTACTTGGGGGAGGCTGCCTAGCCAAAGCCCTGGAGTTCAGGCTGATCATCCCAAGACGGGGGCTACCTTCGCTGTCCACCCACTTGAGGGTGAGCGGGTGCTGCTGGTGCAGGCCGCACATGTCTCGCACTTCCTCACAGAGGTCCTTGAACGTTGTCATGGCATCCACGCTAGTGATCAGGATGTCCCTGGGACAAAGAGGACAGAGGTATCTGTCACCAGATCTCATCTGAAGTAGACCAAACGCTGCTTTTGGTTGGACAAGTTACTGACTAGAAAAATAAAAATCTTCCCCAAAGATGGTATGACAGCCCCGCCCCCAACACGAAACAGAACCAATGACCAGTTTTTAAAACGACCCGCATGGGCTGGAGAGATGGCTCAGCTGACTGCTCTTCTGGACGACCTGGGTTCAATTCCCAGCACCCACATGGCGGCTCACAGCTGTGTGACACCTTCACACAGACATACATACAGGCAAAATACTAATGCAAATAAAATAACATCTTAAACAAAACCAGCCACCATGAGTGGATGAAGGACCAAGTTTAAGTGACCAATGGCGCCCCCTAGTGGAGGCCTGGGGGCCAGGCAACAGCACCTATGGGGCACAAAACGAAACCCCAGGTCCATTTGCCTCATTTAGGTAAAACACCATAGTCAAGCCTTTCCCCAAAGCCTTGACGATGACAACCAGGGTGTGTTGTCCAGAAAAAAGGGAGAGGAGGATAATTAATTAGTTAATTAAAGCAGCTCTTGGATGTCTCGGCAGGACCCGACCCACCTCCATCCGGCGTAGCTGTGAAAATTCTAAAAGGAATGCTTTTTGGCAACCTCAAATCTCAGAATGCCCTTGCCTTAAAAGATAAATCTTCTCATTCCCAAATGGGATTCAGATCTCTGTAGCAGGAGATGGCTCAGAGACGTGCCCTGGAGGAGGAAAATGAGAAGCGGGGGGGAGGTGGCTCCCCTATATTCCTTATAAGGAAGGGCAGCAGCAACAGGTTTCCATGGGAACTAAGCAGGAACCATACCCTCACTGGAGTCTCAGTAAAAAGCAAAACTCACGCCTCACATCCGTGGAGAAAGAACGGACTCTGAAGCAGGGTTATCTAAACTGGGTCACACAACTGTCTATAAACAAAGTCTTTGTCCACTGATGACAAGGATCCAGCACCTACCCAGTCCCCCACATGCCATCCAGGGCCTTCAGAGACCTGCCTGGCCCATGGATCTCACCCACTCTGTAGGGCCAGGGAGAGATGTCCCCAGATACCCCCCCCCCCTTTTCTACCAAGACCAGCCAGCCAGCCACCTTCACAGGCCCCACATAGGAACTGACCCTGCTCCTACCCACCACACCCTGTAGAAACTGAGGCACGGAGAGCCTCCAACATCTAAGCCCCCATCCCCAGGTGCCTGTCACCTGGGGTCACCCTGACACAGTGCCCACACTGCCCATGGCACTGGCCAGCCTTGGAAATGGGAACTCTGGAAATCAGGTCTGCAATCCCTCTCTTGGATCTCTTCCTGAACCCAGGTGGATGGCATCCTCCACCCACACCCTTTAGTGCCCAGAGGACAAGCGTGGACTGCTCCTGTGAGACCCCAATGCTTCGGAGGTGCCACACGAGGCTGAACTGTATCACCCTGGACACATCTCGCCTGAGTCAGAAGGGTGAGCCTTCCTCACGACACAGCTCTAAGCGAGAGTGTCTCCCAGAAGTTAGGGCCAGCCTGGAAGGACCACCCATCCCTGACTCTGCCTCTTGCATCTTCCAGGGCCACAGCAGGTCCTCCACATTAAAGTTCTGAGGCGAGATCCTCAGAAGAGAAGACATCACCACTGTCTGTGATGTCTGAAGCTTCAGAAAAGCAGGCACCTCGGCTCTGAATGTCAGGCTCACCTGTAATCCCCCTGAGAACACGGTGTTGCCTGACACCCCTGGAATATAGGTGACCACGGGTGGCAGTACTCTGATGTCAAGCCTCAAACGGACAACGGACAATAGGAAGACAGACGGCTGTCACGTTACACTGCTCTAAGGACAGGACTGTATCTCTGACTCTCAGCTGTGGCTCCAATACCTCCCTCAGGGCGGTGTCTTACCTCACGCCCCCAGAACATTGTCTTCCGAGACAGAAGGCCCCCTCAACCCACAACCTTCACAGCGGAGACAGTATCTGCGTTTCTTACATCACTGTCTGGGGGGGGGGGGCTCAAGCTCTAGAGAGGGACCTAGATGGCAGATTTCAGGGTAAGTGGGGAGGAAGGCTGGGAAAGAGCCCTGTCTAAGGGGAGATGAAGGGGGGGGGGGACAGAGCGAGCAGGGAGTGGAGTAGACAGAAAGGGAAGAGGGCAGGAAGGGGTGGAGAAAGGGAGAGAGGGGAGGTAGGGAAAGGAAGAGGAAGGGGGGGGCTCCACTTTTGTCAACTGAGGAAACCGGAGTCAACAGGTTGAATTACAGAGCCAGTAACCAAAGTGCTCCCCAGGGGCAAAAGGGAGGGAGGAGTGGGCAAGACAGACAAGTCCAGGAAAGGGGGCACTGTCCAAAGTGAGCCATGACCCCCAAGGTGCCGGCTGAAGCTGCCCTAAGGAAAGGATGGATCCCCCATCCCACCCAGGGGCCTTGGCTTTAGTAAGGGCCAATCCTGAGCATGCTCAGCTTGGGGGTTCCACGCAGGAGACACGGTCTCTCTGCATCAACATTCACTACGGAATCACGGGGTACTCCAGGCCTGAGGCAGGCCCCCCAGAAACCCTTCTTCTTCCTGCAAGTCCAGGATCACCAGAAGTTGGCCATATTTCCGTAACAACCTGTGGGGCCAGGCAGTTCCTGAGGCTGGAAAGCCAACCTCTCCTTTCTTGTCTCTGTGGCTGGGACCGGCCACTAATAAAACTCCCAGGAATGCCGAGAGCCCAGTTCAGCCACAGGGCCAGCATTCCACTCCACTCCCTTCCTCCTTTCCAAGAGCGGTGACCCTTGACCCTTGACCTGGGAGTACCCAGGTCAGTTCCAGGAGGCAGGGCACCGTTGGAAGCAGCCAAAGTGTTAGGGCCTCCACCGCCTTCTGTCTACACAATCGAGGCGACAAGACCATGGGATTTCCAGACGAGCCTGGGTGGACCAGCCACCAGAACACCGACGCCATCACTCCGCTTCCCAACACTCAATGCTCCCGGGCAACTATACTGACCACGGTCAAGTGCCGATGCCCCCATTTCTCCTGAAAGCAAGGTGGAATCCAGGGCTCAGGGCCGAGTCCAGCCCTGCAAAACCACCTCCAGGGAAGAGACGAAGGGTTCATCATGCCCGTCCTTAAAGGAGGGCAGGGTTGTAGTCTTTCTGGACATCTCCAAAAAGTTCTCCTGTCCCGCAAACAAAAGCCGCAAAAAGTGCCCTTATGTTCCTACAACCCAAGGCATTCTTGCGGGTGCCTTCACCTGGCTCAAAGGTTTCCCTAACACTTAAACCGAGACCAAGTTAAATAGCCTTGGTTTGTTGTTGTTGTTTGTTTGTTTGCTTGTTTTGACGTACCAAAAGTTTCCATAATCTGGTGAAAACTTTTAGACGTACAAATCTGTCCTTAACACCCCTGACCAACTGCGTGCGACCAGGGCGAGGAGCGCAACAACACCGGCCCGCTGCGCGCGCCCCGGAGAGACCCAGAGACCCGGAGCGCGCCCCGCCCTCGAGGCTTCCCTCCGGCCACCTCCAAGGGCGCCGCAGCAGACGCAGCCGCCGCCTCCTCCCCGCCCTGCCTCCCGCGCGCGGCGCCCCCGACGGCCCCGAAGCTGCACCGCCGCGCGCCCCGCCTTGCCCACCGTCGGGCGCCGCGCGCGCTCACCCGCCGTAGTGCGCCTTCAGACGGACGCGGCCGCCGCTCCCGTCCATCTTGGGGTCCGTCCTGCTGGGCATGGCGCGCTCCGCCGGCCGCCGACAGCGCCGCGTCCAGGGCGCTCAGGCCATGGCTAGCGGCCCCCCACGCAGGGCCGGGTTGCCAGGCGGGGCGGCGGACAGCGGAACGCGGAAGGGAGCGCGCAGCGCGGGACCGACGGCGCCGGCCGCGCCAACTCCGCGGAACTTGGGCGGCGCGCGGGGCGGGGGGCGCGCTGGGCAGGGGCGGAACCTGGCCGTCCCGAAGGCCAATCCACGGGGGCAGGCGGCACCTGTGGCCAATGGGAGCTCCTCGGGGCCACCACCTGAGCCAATCCTCGGGGGGCCGCACGGCCCGGCCCAATGATGAGCGCGCAGGACGGACTACCTGTCGGGCGGAGCGCGGCCACCTGCGGCCAATGGGAGCGCGCGCGGTGTGGCTTTGCCCGGCAACGGGCGGCGACCTGTGTAGCCCGGGGACTGTCGGGCCCCCGGGCGCCGAGCTTCTGAGTCTCCCGGGGCTGTGGTGCCGAAGAGCCGGACAAACTTGTTAGAAGTGCAACTTGTCCGGCGCTCTCAGGCCCTCGGCGTGTGAACTCCGCGGGGTCCCCGAGGCTGCGAGCAGCTGAGCGCCTGGTGGCGATGCGAGCTGGTCTGACTCTCCGGTTCTAGCCCGCGACTGCAGCGGCATCCCGCGTCCCGGCCAAGGGATGGCTGCCTGCACTCGCTGCCTCTGCTCTAGCTCGCTTCTCTGCAGACAGATCTGGACAATCGTAAGGCATTCGTACTCCTTCGCGCTTTACATTCCACACGTGAGCCTGGTTCTCCTTGGTGCCAGGCACTGGGGTGACCCTGAAGGGCGGGGGGAAAAAAAACAAAAACACAAACCCGCAGCCGCCCTGATCTTGGATCCTGTGTTCTCCCTAGAAGACACCCTTTGGCAGCCTGCTGGTCGTCTACTTCAAGTGCTCACCCCCACCCCCCAAGACGGGATTTCTCTGGGTGTCCAGGAACTCACTCTGTAGACCAGGAGGGTCTCCAACTCAGAGATCCGAGTGCTGGGATTAAAGGAGTGCTCCACCACCTCCCGGCTTCAAGTGCTTTTTTTTTAAAGGTGTGTGGGGGGGGGGAGCACACCTGTGATCCCAGCATTAGGGAAGCTGAGACAGGAAGACCTGGAGCCATAGGCCAGCCTGGTGTGTCTCAGATAATTAAAAAACAACAACAAAAGAAAACCTTGTAGCCTCTAAATGGCTTCTCCATAACCTCTGTATAGACGCCTGCCAGCGCTGTGTACCCTGCTTATCGTCACCCCATCTCCGCTTTCTTTAGGACCCTTACTTCACCCCACTTTCACTACCGACTCCAAGGCTATACATGTAACTGTCAGTTCTCAACTTAAAAAACAGTTATGAGCCAGCCTCTCTCTGTGCAGCCCAGGCTCTCGAGTGCTGAGATTACCAATGCCTGTGACCACTCTGAGCTCTCAGACTCCGGTTTATTTTAGCGTTGGGAACTGAACCTGGGACCTTGCACTTGTTAGGCAAGTGCTCTGCCACCAGCTACCTCCCTTGATTGCCTTTCGACTTTTTGTTTTTTTTTTTTAAGATTTATCTTTATTTTATGTATGTGCAGATTGTTTGCCAGCGTGTGTCTCCGTGAGTATTTGCACAGCTCATAGATGTAGAAATGGGGATTGGGCCCACCCTGGAACTGGAGTTACAGACAATTGTGAGGTGCTGTGTGGGCGTGGGAATCAAACTCAGGTCCTCTGCAAGAACAGCCCATGCTGGTGACCGCTGAGCCATCACTGAAGCTCCTCAACCCTTATTTTATTTGTTTATTTTTGAGACGGCATCTCACTAAACCGCCTGGGCCAGCGCTGAACCGTCTGTGCCTCAATCTTCCAAGAAGCTAAAATGACAGGTCTGGTCTGGGTTTTGCTGCTCAGACTGTTTCTTACTTTTTTTTTATTTGTTTGTTTTTTGAGACAGGCTTTCTCTGTGTAGCCCTGGCTGTCATAGAGCTCGCTCAGTAGATCAGGGTGGTCTGAAACTCAGAAATCTATCTGCCTGCCCCTGCCTCCCAAGTGCTGGAATTAAAGGTGTGCTCTACCATGCCCGGTTCACCTTTGACAGCCACAGACAGCCAATGGGTGCTGTTCTCCCCTCTCTTGCTGGGTGTTCCCGTGGTCTCTCCAGGCACCTGACACCCAGTGTACCGAGTGGGATTTCTGGGGCCGCGTGGGCCCCAGGGCCACAGGCTCCATCTGCCAAGGGAGGACAGGGTTACCACCAGCTTCCACAGATACCAGACCACACTGGGCACCGTGTAGTAAAATGGCAGGCTTCAAGAACTCCCTCCAGGGTGGGTAGGGTGTGGAGGTGATCCCAGGAGCAGACAGAGGAGACTGCCTGGGCAGGTGAGGGCAGATCCTTTCCGACCCACCTCCTACAGTTTCTGTGGTTCTCCAAATTTCTACAGACACCGTGTACTGCCATAGTCACAAACACGGACTGTTTCCCAAATGAAGAGGGTCAGCTGGTTGTAAAAATATAAATAGATTTTTACAGATTCGGTGTCGAAGAAGGTGGGTTAGCCACCTGAAGTCCCTTCCCCACTGCCTTGGTAGGTGGGGACACTCCCATCTCTTGGGACTGGCTTATGGAAGGTTTCTATTGCTCCATGACCACAAAACTTGGGAAGGAAAGGGTTTATTTTGCTTACATGTCCCTGTAACAGTTAATCATTGAAAGCAGTCAGGTCAGGAACTCAAACAGAGAAGGAACCTGGAGGAAGGAGCTGCTACAGAGGCCAGGGAGTTCTGCTTACTGGCTTGCTCAGACTGCTTACTGTACGCAGACCCAGGGGTGGCACCGCCCACAGTGGGCGGGGCGGGCCCGCCCCCGCCCACCTCACTAATTAAGAAAATGTCCTCCAGGCCTGCGCACCGCCCAATCTTCTGGAGGCAATTTCTCAGTTGAGGTGCCCTCCCCTCAGAAGACTACAGCTTGTGTTAAGTTGACATAAAACCATCCAGTACAGAGGAACCGAGTAGACACCTTCCACCAGGTGTGGAGAAGGGAAAGGACCGGTGTCCTCCAGAGAGTTAAGTGAGGGTTCCTCCCTGGAAGGCGTGGTTTTACCAGGCCCAGGCTCCCGTCTGGGTCTCTGTGTCTGAGTCTCCTGGAGCCCGTGGGGGAGGGGAAGCATTGCTCACCCTTCCAGATGTGAGGCTGACCTGAGTGGGGTGTGTGTGTGTGTCTGGCGGGGACCCACCTGCTACAGGAAGGGCCCAGAGCAGCTGATGACAGGCGCTGGGCCCTCAGCTGCGGGAGGCAGCTCAGCAGATGTTTCCGTTCTTTGTCAGGGATGTGGAGACAGAAGTGACAACACCCACTCCGTTCACTCATCCATCGGTATCGCTTGAGGTCCCAGTAAGCGCCAAAAGCTGTGCGGTCATAGGTCAGCATTGTCCCCTCGTGCAACCCGCATGCCAGTAGACACACACACACACGCACCGTCAGTTCTGTGGTACTGGAGCTGCGGCTCAGCAAAAAAGGTGGTTTGTCACACAGTCATGAGGACCGCACCCACGTTACAAACTGGCCGTCCAGAAGCTCTGCAAGAAAGGCAGACGCAGGAGGAGCACCGAGGCTTGCTGGTTTTCAGCCCAGCACATGGCCAGGGGTTCCTTTCCACTGTTGTGATACACCATGACCGAAAGCAACTTGGGGAGGAGAGTTTATTTGGTTTAGATTTTGTCCAAAGTCAGAGTCCAGCGTGGAAGTTGATCCAGGTAGGAGCCTAAAGAAAGCGTGGAGGGAACCTGCCCTTCTGACTCTCTGGGTTTGCTTTCAGACACACCCCAAGGCCACCTGCCCAGGATGGCACCTCCCACAGTGGGTTGGCCTCTTCTGCACCAATCTTTAGTCAAGAAAATGCCCCACATCCTGAGGGCAGTGGGGGATGCTGTCATGGTGCTCACCTTTAATCCAGAGGCAGGCAGATGTCTGAGTTACAGACCAGTCTGGTCTACAGAGGGAATTCCAGGACAGCAGGGTCTACACAGAAAAACCCTGGCTCAAAAAAAAAAAAAAAAAAAAAAAAGCCCATCAAATGACTCAAGCGTTGTCAAGTTGACTGAAAATCAACACACACAAATATACTCACACATAAGCAAACAAATAGGTGGCAGGGCCGGGTGTGGTGTGCACACCTTTGAGCTCTGGGGCAAAGGCAGGCAGTTCTCTGTGAATTCAAGGTCAGCCTGGTCTACAGAATGAATTCAGGGACAGCCAGGACAGAGAATCCGGGACAGAGAATCCCTGTCTCAGAAACCCTAAATATATAAATAAATTGATCGCAGCTCTGTTAGGTGGGAGGCAAGGCCCTGGAAGAGGCTGGCATGGAAACCTAACAGCGTATTGCAGGGGAAGGACATCGTAGACAAGCAAAAGCCCGTGACCCGGGAATGGGGGCGGGGGGATACTGGGATAACCAAGTCTGTGGAAGCAATGGGGAAGAGGAGGACAGGGAGTGGATGAAATGGTTGGGGAACACATCAGAAGTTCTATGTGTCCAAACACGGCTTTGCCTGGACTTTGCGTTTTGTCTACACTGCTAGCGATTAGAGACAAAAGTTTCTGTTTACCAGGTCCTTCCTGTCCACCACTGGCAAGTGTAATACCAAGAGTTTCCAGAAGAGGGCAGAGGAGGGACGCAGCTGAGGAAGGGCCTGGCTCTTTGTTCCTTACCCCATCCTGGTGCTGGCCTAGGAGATGGGGTGCGGTGTCCCTACTTCCTCAGTGACCACATCTCTGGCTGATTGGCCTCCCGACACTGCCATGTGAGCGTTGGGTGTCCGTCCCCACCCAATCCTACTTCTTCACGTTCCAGACCCGTAGGATGTCTTCTGTTCTTCGGTCCTGTCTCTCCAGCCATCCACCCTTCCGATGGTGTGCTAATCATCCCCGAGTTTATTGTTTTGTTGTGGTTTTTAAATCTATAGTCTGCTAAGACAGACCTCTTGGTGCAAGCCCACAATCCCCACCTGTTTAGGAGGCTGAGCCAGGAACACGGAGTGTTCCAGGCAGCCCAGACAGCAGAGTGAGTTTGAAGACAAACTGGACAACTTAAGACCCTGACCGTGACTCAGAGAGAACACTGAACATGTGGGGTGGGAGACG